AGAGAGGGAAAGTAAAAGCCACCAGGTCCAGGACTCGAACCACAGTCGCCCCTGTAGGAGTCTAGCACCATTAACCACCACGCCACCTGCCGGCCCCTACAATGGTGGTTTTTATCTTACTTGGCCATCTGCAGTACCTGGCTCCCACTTCGTAGACTAAGGTGGGCACCTGAGCTCCAGCTCTTACCTTAGCAATCCAACCAGCAGGGAGGAGGGAGACACGTTTCTCACCTCTCACAGCACCCAGGTTATGTTCCACCAACCAGAATTTAATGGCATGGCCACTTAGCTGAGAGGGAGCCTAGACAACACCTTTGTCCTGGGTAGTCTTGTGTTTATCTAGCACCAGGAAAATTGCTTTCAGTAATAAGTTTATCTGACCACTTAGTGTGTTCCAGGCACTATGTTCAACACTGAGTCTCTTGTTTAATCTTCACAGTAATCCTGTAAGTGGGCCTTCTTATTGCCACATCTTATAGAGAAGGAAACCGAGACTCAGTGAGATCAAGTCATCAGCTCAGGTTCACACAGCTGTTAGATGGGGAAGCTGGAATACTGACAGGCGCTGGACTCAGAATCTGCATTCTTGGCTAACTGCCCCATGTTCGCTCTCCCGCTCCCTCCTGTCCCTTCCCTTTTCTCCTTCCAGGTGAAGGCCTCGGTAAAAACCTCTCCAGCCAAAGCTAGTCCAGCTTCCAACAGAGTGTCTTCACTCAAAGGCGCAACACCAGCTCCCGGCAAAGTTGTCACTGCAACTCTTCAAGCCAAACAGGAGTCCCTGGCCAAGGCAAGTGGCGCCAGAAGCCTCAGCAGGTCTCGGGTTTGGGATGGGAGGAGGGGACCAAGCAGTGACCCCAGTCCGCATAAGCCCTGCATGGCAGGGCGACCCCCCACACTCAGGCCACTGGGTGTGTAGCCAAAAAGTAGATATGCTGTCTGCTCCCTTAATACCATTCTCTCCTTGCAACTAGGGAAAGCCTCCAGTGAGACCCCTCCAGAATGGCGCCGCCTCTGCAAGGGGCCCTGCGTCCCAGCCAGTGGTGCGGAAGGTGCTGACCACAGCAGCCCAGGCCCAGACAGGGCTAGTCCAAAGACCAGAGGAGGACTCAGAGAGCAGTGAGGAGTCAGACAGTGAAGAGGAGGTGCCAGCTCAGGTGAGGTCCGGGGAAGAACGGGCACAGCTACGTTTGCCCCCTGGTCTCCTGGGTCTCACATGTCCACCCTCTGGGCCCTCCTCCTGTGTCTTACACTGCAGGCAAAGACCCCAGGGAAGACCCCTCAGGTCAGAGCTGCCTCAGCCCCTGCCAAGGAGTCCACCCCAAAAGAGACTCTTCCAGCACCCCCTAGGAAGATAGGGCCTGCAGCCGCCGAGGCTCAGGTAGGGAAGCGAGAAGATTTGGAGAGCAGCAGTGAGGAGTCGGACAGCGAGGAGGAGACGCCGGGCCAGGTGAGACCCGCCAGGTCCTGAGTCGCCACCACCCACTCTTCAGTCATCACGTGGGTTCAGGACCAGGTGGGGACAGAAGACCAGATTAAGGCTCTGACTCCAGGATCCCTTCCCCAAACCAAGTCTTCCCCAGTAAATGTGGGGGAGAGGGAATGAGGAACATATGGATGACTTTCCTCTGTATGTCCCGAATAAACTCAGGGTGTAACTAGCACTTCAGGGCTCAGGCAGTGCCCGAGATGATTGTCACAGCCCCGGTGGAAGTGATAGGTGGCACCTGACATGGAGCCTTGGTGACCGGAGAGGCAGTAGAGAGTGGTGGCAACCGGGGCAAACTGCAGAGCCCTCACCACACCTAGAACAGTCCCTGTGAGCTTCAGCCAGTTGTGACCTTGTGGAAATGTGCCCTCGGTGAGACCTGATCTTCAGCTTTTCGTTTAGTTGCTTTTTTTAAGTGTATTTATTTATTCCGGAGAGAGACAAGTGTTTCTAACAAGGTGCGCATACCACAGTCCTCCCGCATCTTCAGCCAGCCAGGGTCAGGAGCACTTAGGTGCGAGCGTCCCCCTCCCTGCCACCTGCATGGGAGACCTGTCGTCCCGGGACCTCCACATACAGCGGCCCCATCGCAGAGCACTGCGTTCCCATCACCCCTCGCAGCTAGCCTGGACTTCCGATTCTAAAGGGAAGCAGGAAGTCCCTGTGCCGGGCCAGGCTTATCCCCTCCTAGATTTCTGTTTACTTCGTGAGTAAAGCAAGCATCAAGAGCTCTTAAACACGGTCAGCCCCATGGTGGTTAAGGGAGTCAGATCCCACGTCGCAGTCCACAGTTCAGACCCCAGCCCAGTGGTCTAGAGAACACATCAGGTGCTTCCCAGCACGATGGAGAAACAAGAAATCGCAGCACAATCATGCCCTGCTGGGCTGCTCTTTCGCATCCCTCTATCTCTGACAAACACACGTGCCCTCCAGCAATGAAGAAAAAAAAATAAAAAACACCAACCACTATGGGGTATGATAGACATCCCTCCGGAGCTTACAGTTAATAGTGCAAGACATGATGATTATTGCAAATTATTCTGGTGACGCTCTGAGGGCGCTAGGGAGGTCTGAGAGGCCAGGAGGATGAGCATTCAGCAGACCCAGGGAGGAAAGGCAGCCTGGAGAGAAAGCTGTGTGTGCAGAGAGTGGAGCATGCAGGCGGCCGGTCAGCAGAGAAGGCTACCCTGCCTGCAGCAGTCACTTCTTGTTGCTTATTGCTAGTAGCATTTGTGGTGGGCAGAAATGCCAGACAAAGTCATGGTCCCCTGCCCTGTTCTGGCGTGTGTAGATTTTTGTGCTTTTTATCTTTTAATTTTCTTTATTATTTTTAATTTGCCAAGAGAGAAAGGGAAAGTGAGAATGCAAGCTGCCAGGTCCAGGATTCAAACTGAAGTCAGCCATGTGGGAGTCCAGCACCTTAACCACCACACCACCTGCCAGTCCCACACATTTTTGTTCTTGAAGATTGTGTTGTTTTGTTTTGTTTTTTGTTGTTAGCTTGCTACAGGGGCATACACTCACCAGAGGAAAGTGAGAAATCGCCCCACGGGGGATGGCCATGCCTCAATCCCTTCTCTCAGGACTTTGTGTTCGCATGCACACGCACCTAGTTTTTTTCAAGCCACAGTGCCTGGGACTTGAACTGGGGATCCAAACTCCTTAACCTCCATACCAATTCCCCTCCCGTTTCTTACACTGCAGACGACGACCCCAGGGAAGACCCCTCAGGTTAGAGCTGCCTTGGCCACTGCCAAGGAGTCCCCCCGGAAAGGGACTCTTCCAGCACCCCCTGGGAAGACAGGGCCTGCAGCTGCCCAAGCTCAGGCAGGGAAGCACGAGGACTCGGAGAGCAGCAGCGAGGAGTCAGACAGCGAGGAGGAGACGCCAGCCCAGGTAAGATGTGCCAGGCCCCTGAGCCACCACCACCCGCTCTTCAGTCATCACATGGGTTCAGAGCCAGGTGGGGAAAGATCGGATTAAGGCTCTGACTTCAGGATCCCCAAACCAAGTCCCCAGTGAAGGTGTCCTGCACATGCTCCACCCCCACCCCCATCGATCTGGCCAAGGCCCCCACACCACAAGCAGACACCCTATCCCTGAGAAAGGGCCGGCCAGCAGCTCCCACCAAAGCACAGGAGGCCAGGAATCCAGGGATGTCCCGGTCAGCGTCAGGTGACTTGGAGTTAGTGTAGGAACACACAGGCAGGTGTGTCTCCCAGAGAGGGCCGACTAGCTTGGTGGGAAGCCTGGGCCCTGGAAGTGGGGGAGAGGGAATGAGGAACATATGGATGACTTTCCTCTGTATGTCCCGAATAAACTCAGGGTGTAACTAGCACTTCAGGGCTCAGGCAGTGCCCGAGATGATTGTCACAGCCCCGGTGGAAGTGATAGGTGGCACCTGACATGGAGCCTTGGTGACCGGAGAGGCAGTAGAGAGTGGTGGCAACCGGGGCAAACTGCAGAGCCCTCACCACACCTAGAACAGTCCCTGTGAGCTTCAGCCAGTTGTGACCTTGTGGAAATGTGCCCTCGGTGAGACCTGATCTTCAGCTTTTCGTTTAGTTGCTTTTTTTAAGTGTATTTATTTATTCCGGAGAGAGACAAGTGTTTCTAACAAGGTGCGCATACCACAGTCCTCCCGCATCTTCAGCCAGCCAGGGTCAGGAGCACTTAGGTGCGAGCGTCCCCCTCCCTGCCACCTGCATGGGAGACCTGTCGTCCCGGGACCTCCACATACAGCGGCCCCATCGCAGAGCACTGCGTTCCCATCACCCCTCGCAGCTAGCCTGGACTTCCGATTCTAAAGGGAAGCAGGAAGTCCCTGTGCCGGGCCAGGCTTATCCCCTCCTAGATTTCTGTTTACTTCGTGAGTAAAGCAAGCATCAAGAGCTCTTAAACACGGTCAGCCCCATGGTGGTTAAGGGAGTCAGATCCCACGTCGCAGTCCACAGTTCAGACCCCAGCCCAGTGGTCTGGAGAACACATCAGGTGCTTCCCAGCACGATCATGCCCTGCTGGGCTGCTCTTTCGCATCCCTCTATCTTTGACAAACACACGTGCCCTCCAGCAATGAAAAAGAATAAAACCGACATCACCAACCACCATGTGGTATGAAGTATCTCCCTTCAGTAGCTTATGGTTACCAATGCAAGGCATGATTGTTTTTGCAGTTATTCTGACTGCTGTGGCTGACAGCGCTTAGAGAAGAGGTCCGAATGGCCAGGAGGACCGGCATTAAGCAGACAAGAGGGGACGGGCAGCCTGTCCAGCAAGCCATGTGTGCAGAGGGCAGAGCGTGAGGGCGGGCGGCCAGCAGAGAAGGCCGTTCTGCCTGCTGCAGTCCCTTCTCGTTGCTCATTACCAATAGCATTTGTGGAGGCCATGGATGCCAGACGAAGTGAGGGGCCCCTGCCCTGTTCTGGCCTGTATAGATTTTTGTTCTTTTTCTAATTCTTTAATTTAATTAGTAGTAGTAGTATTTAATTTGGCGAGAGAGAAAGAGGGAAAGTGAGAAAACAAGCCACCAGGTCCAGGATTCATACTGAAATCAGCCCTGTGGGAGTCCAGCACCTTAACCACCATGTCACCTGCCAGCCCCCCAGATTTTTGTTCTTAAAAGGTTTTTTGCTTTGTTTTGTTTTCGTTGTTATTTTGCTATAGGGGTGTACACTCACCAGAGAGGGAGGAAAGTGAGAAATCACCTCCCAGGGGGTTGGCCATGCCATTGCAGTCCCTTCTCTCGGGACTTTGAGTTCACGCACATACACCTGCTGTGTTTTAAGCCACGGTATCCAGGACTTGAACCACAGTCAGCCATGTGGGATCTGGCCACCAATTCCTCTCCTGTTTCTTACATGGCAGGTAAAGCCTACAGGGAAGACCTCTCAAGTCAGAGCTACCTCAGTCCCTGCCAAGGAGTCCCCCAGGAAAGGGGCTCCTCCAGGACCACCCCCTGGAAAGACAAGGCCTGCAGCCGCCCAGGCTCAGGTGGGGAAGCGAGAAGACTCGGAGAGCAGTAGTGAGGAGTCGGACAGCGAGGAGGAGACACTGGCCCAGGTGAGACCCGCCAGGCCCTGAGCCACCAGCGCTCTTCAGTCATCCCATAGGTTCAGGTGCAGGTGGGGAAGGAAAACTAGATGACGGCTGGGAGACACGCTGCTGGGGAGGCAATCATTGTTCATCGTAGCTGCCCCCATGTAAAATTTGGGAAGTGACACGTATAAATCAGGATCTTCTAGCTTAGCTTGAGAAATTAGAACTCAGGCCACCTGGGGCCTACTTTCCTGGCTGAGCTGAGTAGTGAAAGGTCGGACCTTTATGCCAGTAGGGAAGCACAGAGCTTCCCTCTGCCCTTCCTGGTCCTCCCCTGAGCTGGTGTCACCCCCATTACCTCCTTATCCCCATTACCTCCTTACTGCTCTCCACATCCTCCTCTGGCCTCCAGCTGCAATGCCCATCCCATACCCGGCCTGGTGGGAAGGGATGGCAGTCAGGGGAGTACTTCTAGCTGCTGCCACTCTGAGCTGGGGGTAGGACAACCAAGTGTGATTAGGCTGGGGTTGCTGGCTTATGCCTGCAGTCCTGTCTGAGGCTGTTGTCACTCCTTGTTCAGACTCCCCAGACAAGCATTAGAGCCCTGGGTTTTAGGTGTTTCTGAGTCAAACAGCGCTTTCAGCTCATAAGGGAGAATAAGCAAGGGGACTCGTGTTTCCTGTGGCTGTGGGGCATGCTGGGCCAGCAGCTGCCTTGAGTGTGTGCAGGAAGGAGCTAGGCCGCCCGACCTGAGAACCAGGTGTGTGAGGTCATTGCTTGCCAGCCATGTCGCCTTCTCAGCTGATTCCTGTCTCCCCACCATGTGCTTGACCAGGTCGTGGCCCCTCAGAAGGACAGTAACTCCCAAGCTGCTAGAAGCAAGAGCCTGACCTCAGGACCCCAGGAGAACAACGCGGAGGGGTCCTCCGAAAGCAGTGATGAGGAGCTACCATCGGGCCAGGTAGGCTGTACTTTTGCTTTAAAGGAACTGCGAGTCCAGAGCCAGGCCAGTGGGCTTCTGGGGGAGAGGGCAAGTGTTTCCCACAGGGAAAATCTCACCACATTTAAATAGTCCTCCACAGTTCTGGAGGTCTTTCCTCTGTTTTGACACATTCATCCTAACAGTGAGCCCATAAGGCAGGCGGCAGAACATGGCTGCACACATGGGCTTCGGAGCCAGACCATACAGGGTCAAGGGCCAGCTCTCCCACCCACCAGCCCCAGGATCGGGGCAGACACCTGGGCCGTTGTAAAGCAGGCGCAAGCGTGATGCCTCTCTGCTGTGTGTGTGATGCCGGTGCTCATGCATAAAGTATGCAGCACGTCCCCTGCCTAGCCAGGAATGCAAGTTGTGGTATTCCACTTGGCAGGTCGGGAGCTAAGGCCGTAAGAACTGAAGTGGTTCCCTCGTTCTCATAATCTATAAGGCTGCGGAAGGGCACAGATGTGTCCCCAGCTCTGTGTGTTCCCTATTTCTTCTTTGTGACTGGGAGCCTTCTGCAGGGCTCAATAGGATCCTGTGGGCCTCATGCCTGTGGGGCACCTTCCTCTGCTCTGCTGCACCTGGCACTTGGAGCCCATGATCCTTCTAGACTAGAGCCTCCACAGGATGAGACCGAGCCCCACTTGTCTTCCTGACCTCAGAGCCCCAAGTCAGCTGGGCTGCTGTGGTCCGTGCTTCCTGCAAGCCCAGGCCTTTCTGGCAGATAGCGTTAGTCTTCCTCTGGCCCTGAGTTCCTGGGAGCTTCTGCCTGGGTTCTCAGAGGGCCAGTTTCCCCGCTGGAACCTAACCAGAGCTGCTAGAGTCCTGCAACCCCCAGACCAATGGCATCTCCTTAATACCACATTCCGCATGCCTGTCGGTCCATCGGTCAGCTCAGGTGCCGCCTGCACACCACCAGTGTTGGGGTGCCCACTGCCCTTCTTTCCTTAGTAGCAGATTACAGAAATAATGATAAGCTACAGCTAACGTTACGGGTCACTCCCAGTTCGCCAGGCACTGTGCAAAGCCCTATATTTGCATTATTCTGTTTAATTCCCACAATCATTCTATGAGGGAAGGTCCTTTTGTTATTCCCATTTTAAAGCAGAGTGCATGAGGCTCAGATGAGTTGAGTGACCAGGCAGTGTCACGTGGCTGATGACCAGTGGAAGATGTGTTTGAGTAGGCCATGCACGCGCATACCTGCTACCTGGCCCTGCCCTGATGCTGCCCTCTCTAGGGCACGGGCACCACCCTCTGTCTCTCTGAGGAGCCGTTCTGAGTCTGCCTCCTTCTCTGAGGGATCCAAACAGCTGGGAGGGAGGGGGCCGCCTCGCCGTTCTCTGTGGGGGCGGACTAACACAATTAAAATGAACATCATGCTTAAACTGAACTGTTTAATTGGTACGTTAGTCCTGAAGATTCAGGAGTCCCTATTAAAAAAGGCAGAAAGAAAAAAGCTGGCATTTTGTGCACCCCCCAGGAGGGTTCGGGAAGGCAGGCACAGCCTGGAGAAGCTGCAGCCTAGCTGGCGGACCTTTAGCTCCTAATCCCAGCTTGCTCATTATTATTATAATTATTATGCATTTATTGAGTACTTCTCTATTGACAAGTTTCGCTCAGTTTTTATTATTAGTCAGTGTGGCAAGCGGAGCTCCTGCTTAGGAGGCCACCATGGAGACCGGGGCTCCGTTCCCAGGCCCTTTACTGAGCCTCATCCCCACAGAGTGGAATTTCTTAGAATCTGTCCCTTGTGACAGTGACCTCGGACCAGAGTCTGGGCTTGACCTTGGCTGGGCTCCAAATGAAAAAGAAAGCAGCGAGCTTATGGGGTGCTGTGTGTGTCAGGTGGCTACGTTACCGTTCCACAGCACAGTACTTCAGAATGTCGTGTTGTGCACTTACTTGTCAATGAAAATTCTTTTTTTTTTCCCCAAGTTTATTTCTTCAGTGAGTGTGAGAGTTAGAGACAGAGATAGCATCCTCCACAGGGTCGTGAACCTTATGCCAGCCCTGGATCTCAGGTGTACACATGCCCAGTATGCTCAGGGAAGTCTCTGAACGTGAACCCAGAACCTTCCCATGGATTAGTCTCGGAGTGTCACTTTTACTGCTGTGCCACCATCTGGCCTCTAATTATCTTTATCCTTTCTTTTTTTCTTTTTTCTTTTTTCTGTGTACTTAAATCTGAAAAAAAAAAAAAGAAAAAGAAAAAAGAAAAGAGAGAAAGCTGGGGAGCTGGTGTGTGCCTGTAACCCCAGCTGCTTGGGAGGCTGAAGCAAGAGGAATGAGACTTTGGGGCAACATAGACCCTATTTCTAGGGAAGAAAAAAGTAGATCCTGCCCTCAAAGTCGCAAGTTGAGACAGCAAAGAAGAAAGAAATCTGTAAGAATTTAAACCAGGGTGTTAAATCGAGCCCTAGCCTGACTGATCCCGGGGGAGCCCCCGTCTGGTGCCTGGAGAATCAGTTCCTATCCAGCCCCTAGCCTCAGTTTGCTGGTCACCCTGGAGGTTCAACCTTCTTCACCCATTCAAGATGGCTTGTGAATCTCAAGGCTCCAGGCTGCAGCCCCAAGGAGCGAAATTTCTCAGTCCCCTGGGATCTGTTGACCACCACCAGCAGTTCTGAGAGAGGCTCTCAAAGAAGCAGTGTCTTGGTGACTGTCCTTTGCAGCAGCCTGGGCCATCAGTCCCTCTCCCCGGCTCTGCATCAGACTCCCAGGAATGCAAGCCAGAGTGATGAGCTCAGGTGGCTTCTGCAGGCCTCAGACCCTGGCCTCCCCCTGGGTCAGACCACTCAGCACCTATAGGGAGGTCAGCCTGATGCTGAGGCAGTGCTGGTTTCACTGCTTCATTTCTACCTGGTTTTTCTTGCTGAGCCCGCAAGTATACCCTGCATATGTGCGCCTTACAGCGGTTTCCACAGTGCATCAGAACCCATCCGGTGGCTGCAGCCAGGGTGCAATTAGAAGCCTTTTAATGATGGGACCAGCAGTTAGCATAATGGTTATGTCGCTGGACTCCAATGTAGTCGACCGTGGTTTGCGTCCCGGACCCAGTGGCTTAAAGTAACGCCGGGCGCGTGTACGTACGTGCCCAAGATCCTGAGAGGAGAAGGGAGGAGAGGGGATTGCAGCGTGGCCATCCCTCCTGGGGGGTGATTTCTCGCTTTCTGTCTCTCTGTCTCTCTCTGTCTGTTTGGTGAGCGCATGCACCCTATAGCAAAAAAAAATACCTCTCCAAAAAAAAAGGAAGCCTTTCAATGAATGGGAAGCTGAGGATCAGGAAGGTCGGGGCATGACCACACAGTGAAGTCGTGGCAGCGTTAGGCACAGAAGCAGGTCTTCTCCCACACCTGGGCAGCAATGCTGCCTTTTCAAGGTCTGTGGACTGTGACTGCACTCCTGCCGTGCTCAGTGCTCAGCGTGGGCTGTGTGGGCCATGGTCCCCCTTGTGCCCCGCCCCTGCCCTTGCAGCCAGGCCCCCTGCACCAGCTCCCTCCCACAGCCGCGAGGCCGGGGCGGGGTGGCGTGGGCAGGTGGAACTAGGAGGAGGCTTTTGCTGCTGAGCTGCTTTTAACATCCCGAGACGCTATTGTTTGCCTCAGTGGGTTCGTTGCCTCTCTTCGTCCCCGACAATCTGTTCCTCTGTCTTCTCACATATATATAGATCCCCCCCTCCCTCAACTGTAAGCCTGCTCCCACTTTCCATCCTTCTCTTTTTCATCACGTGGGAAGGAAGGCTCTGGAAGTGGCAGATCAGAGCAGCCGCGGGGGAGGCTGTTTGGCAGGGGTAGGAAGGGCCTAAGCCCAGCAGAGCCTCCACCCTCAGGCAGCACCTTCCTGCCTTTTTACTTACCCCTCCTTTCACCGCAGCCTGGAGTTGGGAGGTGCTGAGCCAGGCTCAGGAGGTGGACAGAGTGGCTTGAAGCAGGCTGGGTCCTAGACCTGCTGTGGCCCTCCTTGACCTCAGCCTGCTTCCTCTTCCTGCCATGCATCGCCCCCCCCAGCCTGAGGGAGCCAAACCAGCTGTGACATCTGGGGAGCAGTAAGCTTGCCCAGTTCCAGCCAGACCTGGAGTCCCCTTGTGTGCTGGGGGTATGTCCGGGGAAGCTGTTACAGCTTGATTCTGCTGTTCTGTGGGAAAATGTAAAGCAGGGCTAAAGGGGTAGTCCTATGGAAGGAACCCCTGTGCCGGTCCAGCCTCAGCAGCTAGGAACATATGTGCGCGTTTCCTGCGAGCCCTCCCCTCGGTTCCCATGCTTGCTGGAGAGCCCTGAAGGCCCTCTCAGCCCCTCATTCAGGGCAGCTGTCACTGATACAGACCAGAGTCTACAAGGACAGCCGCAGTACCTGACTGACCCATCCACGTAGTACCATTTCCCCAGTCGTCTCATGAGTGGGGGTTTTTATGTCCAGCCTTTGGGTGAGAGTCTGCCAGGAGACCCCCACTATGCTGAGTTAGCAGCCCCTGGGTCTTGATCCATTGGCTCCCTACACACATACACACACACACACACACACACACACACACGTTTCCCCGTTCCATTTATTTGTTGGCTAAACGGTGGTGGAGCTGGAGGCTGTGCCATAGGCCACGTCTCAGGAGGGCCACAGCAGTCTCTGGGGTGGGAGCGACTAGACTGAACAGCTCCCTGGGTGAAGACCATCATGACGGGGCTGCAGGAACACTGCTCGGGCAGGCGCTGTCTCTGAAGTCAGCGGAGGAGAGCGCTGCACGCTCTGCCCTGGCTGTGCTTCCAGGAGGCCGCATGGCCTGGGCAGTGCTCTTCCCCTCTCTGGACTCGCACTGCTCTCACTGCACAGCAGCCGATAACTGCCACGCTTGGGGCTCAGCGGGGGTTGGCAGGGCTCCCATGAGCTCTAAGGTTGGGGTGGGCGTGGGCCAGGTGTGCTCTGGGCAGCTCCATCAGCCTCTGTGCCTGGCAACCCCAAGTTCTTTGGGACCCCTTGACTTGTAAAATCCTCCCCTGTCCCGTCTTCCCCTTCCCCTGGCCAAGCCTTTAATCATGGGGGGGTGTTTTGTTTTTGTTTTTCAAGGTGATTAAAACCCCTCTGATTTTTGTCGACCCTAATCGTAGTCCAGCTGGCCCAGCTGCTACCCCCGCACAAGCCCGGGCAGCGAGCGCCCCAAGAAAGGCCCGGGCCTCGGAGAGCACGGCCAGGAGCTCCTCCGAGAGCGAGGATGAGGACGTGATCCCCGCTTCGCAGTGCTCGAGTCCCGGTGAGCGCGGCCCCTGCAGTGCTGCCTCCCCCACGACACCTGCCAGGCTTGGCTGTGGCCACTGGCACGCCCCGCATTGAAGTTCTGAATGAAAGGACTCTGGCCCAGTCGCCTAAAGATGGTGGTCAGGAGGCAGTCTCTGGGGCGCTCCTGGCTGACCCACAGGCTTGGAATCAGGCCCATTGGCTAACCGTGGCAGGGCCCAGGGTCCTGTGTAGTCTGAGGAAGAAGGGCACTGTAACGACCGAATGTGGCACCGACTGGCAGGTGGCAGTAAGCGTCCTGTGCCTGGCGGCATGGGAAGGGGGTAGGGTAATCCCAGAGCGGAAATACTGTAGGGAGAAACTTCATCTGTTAACTGATGGCAGGGCCAGATCTGGGGTTTCTTTGACATCTAAGGCTTTGATTCCACCAACGATAACAGGACAGTGGTTGAAATGGCTAGTTTTTTTTTTTTTTGACACTTTTAGGAGAAAAATACCTGATCCTGATAGAATGGTTTAAAAATACAAATTAGCACAAAAGAAAAAAATATCACCCATAATCCCACTGCCCTGAATAACTGTTCCCATTTTACAAGTGCTGACTTTCCAAAAAGAAACCATAAGATGTACACGTGTTGTTAAAGTAAGACCACAATGCGTGTAGCTGATGCCCATCTTTATTGGCTACATCGTGGCGTTGGGTTTTGTCATCATTAGCTGTGCATGGCATGATTGCTACTGGCCACAAAGCTGGCCTTTGGGCAGGCAGACCACGTTAGTTTAGTCAGTGTCGTGCTGGGGGGTGGGGGGGGTTTGCTTGGGCGTGCTTGGCCGTTGTAAGCCGAGCTGCAGTGAGCACCCGTGAACAGCCTGTGCAGGTGACTAGAGCAGTTCCCCTGAGACAGCGTTAACTGCAGGGACAGTCGTTAGCATCAGTGCCCCAGCCCAGTGCTCAGGAACAATGGCCTGGCCTGAGGGGAGGAGACAAGGAGAAAGCCTGGGGTCCCTTCCTTAGCAACCACCTATTCCACTGAGCCTCATCAATTCTGTCTGGAAGGCTTGGGGAGGGGAGCAAGCGAGTCTACCTGTATCAGCCCTAAGCACAGCACTGGGTTCCTGGGAAGGGCTGGTGAGAGGGTTATTGCTATGCTGGGGGGCCTCCAATGGGGTTCTGCACTCTGATGCACCCCCTGTTCTCCATTTCAGCCATTAGAGCCAGCGTGGTGACTGTGCCCAGTGCCCGCCCACAGATCGCCCCCAGGGCCAGTAGCAGCAAGGAGCCCAATCAGGTGTCAGAAGGCATGAAACAGGAGGGACCACCCAGTCAGGTACCTGGGGGGCAGGGAGAGCTGGGGCAGCCAGGGGGTGCTGGCTGCTGCACTCCCACCCTACCTGCGTGTGGGAGTCAGACTGCAGTTGCTGGCTCCCCCAGCCCCCCACAGAGGTAGCAGCCACTTAAAGCCAGAGGCCTTCTTGGCCTCCTGGCTCGAGTCCTGATGCTGGACACCCGAATCACCTTTGACTTGGGAAGAATGATCTGGAAGCATGGCTTCAGGGCAGAGCCAGCTCTGCTTCTTGGGTTTCTCCTCAGCTTTTCCAACAGGCTGGGACCTTTGGTTTGCTTTGCTTTCTTCCTCCTGGTTTTGAAATGCTGTGAAGAAAAGTTGCCCTTTTTTGTGTTCGTAATAACGACTATAATGTTCTTCCTTGCCGTTACCATTTTCGGTGCCTTTTATTTAGTCGTTGCCTGAATCTGCAGGCAGGGCAGGGTAGGGGTAGGGGCAGCGGGGTGGGGGGGGCGAGCCAGTCTTCAGTAAGACTGAGTGCACCCCCCACCAGTTTGTGGCTTGCCGGGACTAAGCAGCCCAGACCCAGTCTCCTGACTGCACACTCCAGCCCCCACTCGAGGGAGTAGGAGAGCCCTGGGACGGGCCAGGGGAGTTGGGCAGCCGCGTTTGGAGGGCCCGGGGTGCTACCTACTCACTGGGCTCATCACAGGCAAGAGCACACAGAGACCTGGACGCACGGGTGCTGAAGGGTAGCCTCACGTGGTTCCTGCACTTGGAAAGCCGCGTCCATTTACCCGTGCAGCCTATGCCGGGCACTGGGGACACAGCAGGGACAGACAGGAAGGTCTGTGTTTTGTGGCATTCCCAGGCTAGCAGGGCTTCAGACAGGAAAACCCAAATCTGTATAAAGCCCTCTCCAGCTGGCAGGTGCTTCGACAGAAACAGAACAGCAACTAATTTGAATAATGGGGCAACCTGTTTTCAGAAGAATGAGCATGGAAGGCCTCCCTAAGGAGGTGACGTTAAAGCACGAGCAGTCAGTTACAGATGGCACCTGGTTTTCCGCCCAGATAGCGACGTTGCCCCTTTGACTGCCCCAACCCTACCCCAGCCAGATAGGGTCTGGCCAGGGCATAGCATAGACGGTATCCCGAGAACCAGGAGTCTCATGGCTGCCTCTGGCTGTCCACAGGTGACAAAGAAGAGCCCGACTTCCCTCCCGCTGACCCAGGCTGCCCTAAAGGTCCTCGCCCAGAAAGCCAATGAGGCCCAACCTTCTCCTGCCAGGGCCCAGTCTTCAATAGGGGTGAGCTTGGAGAGCCATGCCCACCCAGCTCTGCCCCCAGAGGGGAGGCTGCTTCCCCTCTCAGCCCTGCCACAGAGTGGGGGAGGGAGGGCACCGGCCAGGCTGAATCTCCTTGTCCCTCCCCGCAGACTTGCCCGCATGGGGACTTCCACCCTCACGTGCACCCTAGACTGGCAGCCTGGCCTGTAGAAGCACCATGGCACCCATCTCGGAGTGGTGGGAAGGACCGAGCGAGGTCGCGCGTGTGCCGTGCCTCACGCAATGGCCCAGATGAAGGGCGGACGCACACTAGGCCTAACTCGCCCTACTTCTTCCTTCCACTCTCTCGCCCTTCGCCAAATCAGGTTGATGGTGCTGTGGGAACACTTCCTGTGGCGAGCCCCCAGAGGACCAAAGTGACCAACAAGCTGAGAACACCCAAGCTTCCTGCGGGCCAGCGGGCCACAGCCACCGCCTCGGGACACTCCAAGGCCAAAGCCCCCAGGAGCTCAGATGACAGCGAGAACAGCAGTGACAGCTCTTCAGGGAGCCCCAAGGGTGCTGGAGGGCCCCCAAAGGCCAAGTCGGCCCACAGTCTGGGTGAGGGTGCCAGAGGGAGAGGCGAGGGGAGGCTGAGAGGGGGACAAAACAGGCTGGTGGAGCCGTCAGCCGCAGCCCCCACTCCATACCATGATCGATCTGCAGCCTGGGCCAAGCCAACCCATACTGGCCTCGGTTTCCCCGCCTGCGTAACTTCACAGGGAAGTCGGTCCAGGTGATTGCAAACACCGGCCTGCTTCTTGACCACTCTCGGCTCCCTTAAATGACTCCCCAGAATTCCAGAGCCAGCCTCTCCCAGGGGAGCAGCAGAGAGGGCTTTGGCAGTTCACTGCTCCCCTAGGAGGCTGTGCAGCGTGTCGAGTTTGCAGGGAGCAATAGGAAGCCTCGGGCAGCAGGGTGAGGGACATCCAGGAGGCCAGGACATCTCAGATCCTTTCTTAAAGGACTCTGCCTAGCCCAGTTGGCAGGGGCCACCCAGATCCCAGCAAGGTACCTGTGCTTCTCCAGCAGAGCCAGTCCCCTCTGGGAAAGAGACCTTGGTGGAGGAGACCTCTACAGAGTCCAGCGAGGAGGAGGTGGTGGCACCATCCCAGGTAACTGCCAGGGAGTGGGCTGTCAGGTCACCGACTTAGTGCTGGAGCCCCGGGCCAGCCTCCTGGCCCCTGGTGCAGTCGTACGTGAGACTATCCCTTGGGTTGGGTCTGGACCCTTCCTCTTCCCCAGGGCTCAGGGCACAGTCCTATCTGCAGATAGGCTGGTCCTAAATCCCGAAGGTGGCCCAGCAGCAGAACAGCCAGGCTCGGGAACCAGCAGTTAGCATAATGGCTATGTCGCTGAACTCCCACGTAGTCGACCGCAGTTCGCGTCCCGGACCCGGTGGCTTAAAACTCACGCCGGGCGCGTGTGCGTGCGTGCCCAAGATCCCGAGAGGAGAATGGAAGAGAAGGGATTGCAGCGTGACCATCCCCTCCGGGGGGTGATTTCTCGCTTTCTTTCTCTCTGTCTGTCTGGCGAGCACACGTGCCCTATAGTGAAAACCTCTCCCAAAAAAAAGAACAGCCAGGCTCGCTCTCTCCCACGTTCCACACGGCCACAGCTAACCCTCACGGTCTGTGGGAAGCATTGACCTTGTTCCCGGATGGTACCAGACACACGTGTTCCCTAGCAAATTTCTACTAAGGTTACTGTCTGTATGTAGCACGTGCTAGGAATTTTTCGTTTGCATGAGTAATAAGAAATTGCCTTTTTAAACGTGCCAGTGTGCAGTGTGTATGGGGCAGCAGGTGGCGTGCAGGTTAAGGCAGCCGGAGCCCATGTAGTCAGCTGCACAATTTGAGTCTTCGGGCTTGGCAGATTGGAAAACAAGCCATGTGCGTGTGCTTGCATGCATGCCCAAAATCCTGAGAGGAGAATGGGGGAGAAGGGACTGTGCTGTGGCCATCTCCCCTGGAGGGAGATTTCTCACAGGCTGGGTGAGGGTGCCTGAGGGAGAGCGAGGGCCAACTGAGAGGGGAGCGAACTGAGCCTGGTGGAGCCGTCGGCCACAGCCCCCGCTCAGTACCTTGATTGTTCTGTGACCTGGGCCAGGTCAGCCCGTACTGAGCCTCGGTTCCCCGCCTGCGAAACTTCTCTCTCTCTCTCTCTCTGGCAAGTGCATGCACCTTATAGCAAATTTTAAAAATAGATATGTAAATAAATAAAACGTGGATTAAATTAGAGTTCTCCAGGAGGCACACAGCAAGGGCTGGAGCTCCCCTCCAGCCTCAGTACACACTGCTCTGCACCGACAGGGCTACCCACTCCCAGAGGTCCCTGGGCTAGATTCTTCTCAGCAGGACCTGCTTCAGGCCAGGTGGGCTGGGGTTACAGCCTCTTTCACACTGGGCTTCTTCAGTCTCTCCTCTCAGGGTATGTGACCCCTGGGCTGACCCTGGCCAATTCCCAGGCTTCGAAGACTGTTCTCAAGCCAGACTCCAGAACCTCGGTTTCCTCCACTCTGGCCGTCAAAGATGACCCACACAGCAAGCGGGAGGCAGAGTCCCAACAAGCAGCAGGCGCCATGTCCCCTAAAACAGGTGAGTCAAGGGCTCTAAGAGGGGCACAGAGGGATGAAACCTTTCCCCCAGCAAGCCTGCCAGCATGGTCCCATCTGCCACCAGGGCCTCTCCAAGCGTGGCCTGTGGCCCTCCAGTAGACCTGGAGGTGCTCCTCACAGTGCAGGTGGCACCCGAACCCAGGTGTTGGTGCTAGCCTGGACATGGGGTTTCTCCAGCCCTGGGGGAGGCTGATACACCCGGCGAGGCCACCTCTGCCTTGAGTGAGCAGCGTCTTGGCCATCTTGTGATGTGGGCCTTGGCTGTCTCTGGCTGTCCTGCTGGCTTGTCCCCAGCAGTGTCTTGTGATGCGCATTGTGGCTTAGACAGAAGGCCAGAGGGTCCTCCAGCCCCTGGAGGAGAGGAGACCCTAAGCAGCGAGTGCCCCAGAGCTGCTCCAGCCAGCTCCTCTGGGCTGTGTCAGCCCTCCAGGGCAGAGCTGGTGCAGCAAGTCTGGATCAAGGCATGGCACCCAGGAAGTAGTCGCCTGGCATTGGGAAGCAGACTGTGGTTTAAGTCACCTGGCCTGGGGGCAGTAGCCATCCCTGACTCCATCAGAGGTAAGGGACAAGTGTCTCCAAGAGCACACCTGGGCCAGCTTGCCTTGATGTTCTGGAGTATTTGCTGACAAAAAGCAAGAACTGGGCTCCGAGGAAAGAGGCCCCACTTAGCTTCCCTCTCCAGAGCACTGAACAGGGCCTCTGCCCATCCTCTGGCCCCTTGGCTTGGCCTGTCCTGGGTATCTCCCCTACCCCACCACAGGGCTGGGGCACTGGGAGGCTCGCCGCACTGCAGGGAGCTGCCCCTGTCTCCTCTGATGTGGGGCACCCTCCTGGGCCCCTCATGACGACCACCTCCAAAGCCAAACCACTGAGATCCTCTTTTTATAAATTGTCAGAGGGTGCAAGAGCGAACGTGTGCTGGCCAGAGAGAGAAGGCATCCTTCAGTGTGGTGTGGGCGCTGCAGCCTTCTCCATCTCTCCATGCTGTCAGGGATTTGGGGCATGCACACACACATGCCCCGAGTGTTTTCCAAGCTACTGGGGCCAGGATTCAAGCCACGGTTGGCCATGTGGGATACGGCTCCCACTAGGCTGAGGGCCGCCTTCCCTCCCCAAGCTATCTTCTAAAGCCCAACATGTATGTCCTTCGTGCCCCGAGGCCCAGGTTGAGCGAGACGCCCTAGGTCACTGGAGAAGGCAGAGGCAACAAGAGGAGCTTTCCCTGGGCTTCCGACTGCGGCCAGCCCAGTCAGACGAGTCATGGCTCCCTTTCTTCCCCAGCACTCTTGTTGTGAGAGGCGGGTGCGACAGGAGACATTTCAGAGGGGGCTGTGGAAGGTTTTTTTTACACGTGTAGTCAGCACACAATTATCAAAGGCAAGCAGAGGCGTGGAAAATTCTAAACAAAGGCTGCACCAGAAGTCACTCCGGCAGGCAGTGAACCTGCCTAGTCAGCCGCCACATGCATCCACACTGCAGCCAAGTGCGCCCCCTAGCCAGGAGGGCTGTGAGCCCACTGTGTGCAGGTGGCGTGGCCTTCGCCCACGTTATAAACCTGGAGTTTGTAATAGGGACTCGCCCTTTGTCTGATCCCGTCCATTTACCAGCAGGGATGCTTAGGTCCTGGGAGGGGTTGGGTGCTGGACAGAGTTTTCTAGCAAGGTGGTGGCACAGTCAGACCGCAAACTCAGGTCTCCTGCCTCCCCGCTCTGGATTCTTGGCTAGACTGTCTCACCTCCCTCCCATCCGACTTCTGTCTCAGGCCCTGTCGCTAGCCTTCCGGACTCACCCTCCATGCCCAGCCCTCCGTTGTGCGGCATTCAGTGTGAGGAGACCAGGAAGGAGTGCTGTTAGAAGTGCGATCAGGGGGACCAGCAGTTAGCATAATGGCTATGTCGCTGGACTCCCACATAGTCAACCACGGTTCGAGTCCTGGACCCAGTGGCTTAAACTCAACGCCAGGCGCGTGTGCGTGTGTGCCCAAG